AAGGAATAAAATTATATAACACATTTTGACTGCAAATCGAGCAATTTCTATGGCTTACCCAAAATTCATAAAAGTAAGGAGATCATAAGACAATGTAAAATCCTAAAAGCAGCTATGTTGAGATGGAACACCCGGGAGATTTGAAACTCCGACCTATAATTGCAGGCCCAGGGTGTGCTACACATAGACTCAGTAATTTCATTGATATTTTATTGAAACCAATCTCATCAAATGTTAAAAGTTTTACTCGTGACACCATGCATTTCCTTTCCTCTTTACCACAAAACGTTAATGAAACAAGCAAACTTGTAACTTTTGATGTAAAAAATTTGTATTCAAATATCCCACATAGCCTAGGAATTAAAGTGTTGGATTATTGGTTAAACCGTTGTGAAGAACACATACCTGAGCGAATTTCAAAATCATTCATTTTGAAAGAGTTGAATTCATCTTAAAAACAATATTTTCTTTTTGACGATAAGTACTATAAACAGATTAAAGGGAACAGCCATGGGAACCAAAATGGCGCCGACTTATGACTTGTCTTAGGATATCTGGAGGAAAAGTTCAAGCATAAAATCAGTCAAATTCTTGGAGAGGATGTTGCCCATTATTTCATGGAAAATTGGAAAAGATTTCTAGACGACTGCTTCATAATTTGGCCATTTTCTGAGGAGAAACTAAATACATTTTACGAACTAATAAATAGCATGGACGAAAATCTTGTTTTCACTATGGAGGCAGATGAAACTAAAACAGCTTTCTTAGACACAATGGTCATCAAATCGGGGCGGAAATTGGACATAGATATCTCCTATAAACCTACAGATACGAAACAATATTTAAACTTCAAATCTTGTCATCCGAGCCACACCAAAAGAAGTCTTCCATATATCCTGGCACGAAGAATATGTACAATAGTTTCAAACCAGGACACCCGCAATCAAAGACTGTATGAACTTAGGATGTTTTTACTAATACGGGAATATCCAAAATCTCTTGTTGAAGACGGAATATATAAAGCTTTACAGCTTAATAGAGAAGATCTTTTGACAGGAACGATGAAACAAACCAATGAGGAAAAAGTAATTGCTTGTGTATCTACTTATAATCCTTTGAACCCAGAACATAAAAACAAATATGTGCATCTTCGAACAAGATGAAAAACTGAAATCAATGCTGAAATCTAGAAAAGTAATAAATAGCAAAAGGCAAAATCAGAATCTTAAAAGATACTAACAAAAGCCAAATTTATTTTAAAGAAACAGAATTTATCAAATCCTACTGTGTCTAGATGCAACAGAGGTAACTGTGGAACGTGTCGACATATTGTTGAAGGACACTCTGTAACTTTCACGAGACACAGAGAATTCTATGTAAAACAGAATTTTGACAGCTCTTGCAAAAACATAATATATGTCACAACATGCAATGTCCCTGAAGGTCAATCAGAAAATTTAAGAACGAAACATGTTTCCTGAGAAATCCCACTGAGTGAACATCTAGGCATTCTGTTTTTCCATAGACAAGTTCATTCATCTATGTAATATATATATTTGGGTTTGTCATACGAAGATCTTCAAGGCACAGCTTCAGTAGTGTGGCAACAGATCAAGCCCTGGAACAAACCATCAACAGGGATGGCAAAAGCAAAGGAGGAGTTATTGGTCTGACACTACGCAAAGGTGCTCTTACCCGATGGTTAAAGACAAGGCATATCACTGCAGAATACGCTGAAGCGTTTAAGCCTCTGTGTAGTGATCGGAGCAGGACTGATAAGCCACATGAGGAACTTGGAAATGCAAGGCTTGTCAGGGATGAACAGGATGTTACCAACATCATGGAGGCTGCTTCTCAATATCAAAATCCATTTGACCTACTGACTGTGCCTTCAGAATTGATCAACATTGCCACTGGACAGGTTGCCTCAGTTGAGGTAAGTAAAAGTTTGAATGGCTTCTTGGATAAAGGCAAGAAGAAACACCAGGATTTCCTAGCAAAGCGCCTCGTTAAAGTAACTAAGAACAAGAGTTTCTGGGATCCGGAACCTCGCATGAAAGTACTGACATTTTCAGAGATGCGCAAAGGTTTGCCAACAAAGAAGACTGACAGGTTTATGGTGGATTCTGAGGTGCTTTTTCGTCGACTGCTGGTTGTATCGAAGCAGAGAGATGTCAGTTTGGAATCTGTCCTTAAACATGAACTTGCAGCAGTCCCACCTTCCCTTTTCCATGATGATGGCACGATGAGGAAATGCACCAAATCTGATCTAGCAATGAAACTTGAAGCTACATGTGATGAAGTTCACAGCTTGAACACAGGTCCCAGCACAGCTTATGTAGTTGATGGCATGGCACTCTTGCAAAGCTTGAAAGACACACAGTTCACAACCTTTGATGACTTAGGACATTGCGTTCTTCGACGGTTGAAGGTAAATCTTGATAGCAGTCTTGGTGTTGGCGCCATTGCCATTGTGTTTGATAGATATGACAGCCCAAATTCAATCAAACAGTTGGAGCGACAAAGACGTGGAGATGAGTCAGGAGCCACGTTTGATGTAAAAGGTGGCCGTACAGTTCCAAACTACAGAAAATTCCTAAAGAATTCTGCTAACAAGGCAAGCTTAGCAGTATTTGTTTCAGAATATATTCTGCAAAGAAAAGAATTTCTTCTCAGTGGACAGGAACTCATCATTGCTGGTGGATTTGTTGATGGTTGTATTTCAAAATGTATCAATGAAAACAGTGTGTCCGATCTCACGGACCTATTCACTTCCCACGAGGAAGCCGATACAAGGATGGTGCTGCATGCAATTCACTTTTCAGAGCGATATGACCGTATCGTTATTCGAAGTGACGACACAGATGTCATGGATCTTCTCCTGTACTATACAAATAATGCCATGCTTAGATCATCTGTATATATGGAAGCTGGACACAACACACAGTCCACCAACAGACGGAGGTACGTTCCCATCAGTACCATAGCTGTAACAGTGGGACATGATGTCTGTCAGAGTTTGTCTGCAGCTCACACACTAACTGGCTGTGACACAACTAGCAGCTTCTACAAAGTTGGAAAATCCACTGTTTACAGCAAACTCTTGCAACATGTCAAGGAAGAATATGCATCTTTGGGGAGATTTGGTATGTCAGGCAATTTTGAGGATGATGTTACAATAGCAAGGAGATTTATTCTGTCAATATTCACGAGAAAAGACCAGCCCTGTGCAACTCTGGATCGTCTGCGATATGTGATGGCGTCAACGACTGACAAGTCTGCTGCTGATCTACCTCCCACTGAAGATGCCTTCTCCGAGCATGTGAGGAGAGCCAGGTACCAAATAGCCATTTGGTGCCAAAGTCACGTACCCATGCCAGTTCTTGGTGAGCCCAAGGACAATGGGTGGGCAGTAGATGTGAATGGTTCTTTGGAACCTGTGATGTTCTCAAAGGAGATAGCTCCAACTGAACTGAGAAATCTCACACACTTGTATTGCACAGACAACGACTGTAGTGTTGGGAAGAAGTGTCAGTGTCTCCATTCAGGCCTCAAATGCACAGAATTTTGTAAATGTGGAGGACAGGATTGTCAGAACACTACTTCTTCCACATTCTCTGACAGTGATGGAGATGAAGAATGTGACTAACACTGATCATACTACACAGAAGTTTTAAACATGACGGTTGTTGGCATATGTGATAGTCTGGATCTTACCCACAAAGTAGGTTCAAATGTGAATAACTCTTTCTATGGATATGTGAACAAATAGATAAACTTGTAGTTACATATTTTGTAGAAACTATTAGATATCTTGACGAGAGTGATAATGTGATATTAACATAGGCGTACATTTAAGTCGTGCTCAATGTATCATGAAAACAGGTGCTTGATGGGGGACAACCCCTTTTTACTATTAGGTTGTTATCAAATCCCGATACTGTTGTCATACAAAACATACAAATTGCTTTTTTCCCTTGACAGATCATAGTACAACTTGCCTAATATGTATATGGGGGTAATCAAACAAAAGATGTATTGGCTACTTACCCCAAATTGAAGTGTCCATAAAATATTCGTTTTTTTTCCCCTGTAATATGTCCCAATTAAAATCAGATAAATTAACAAGTTTATTACAACTATTCTCAGTTTTATTGATGGTTTTGTAAAGCTGAAGTCTTAAACAATCTAATGGACACAACCTTACTCTTGTTTTTGTCATTTTATTCTTTCATTGAATTTTGAAAACACATGAATTTGCAATTTTGGCTAAGATTTCATTTTTGGTGAACCAAATACAACCATTACAATTTTTTTCAAAATACATATCTATGTTGTGAACAAAGGCCACACTGTGTCCTTTAATTTGCAATCAGTTTTGTTGAAATATATGATATATTTCAGAAGTTATCACACATTTCGTGAAAATGTGTGTTTGTGTAAATTTTCATGTGTTGCTATGGCAACATGTTGGATACCATGTGCCATACCTATTTTGTGCCACCACAACCTTACTTTTCATGAAGGGTAGATATGTACCATGATATAAATTTAGGTTGTGGCTTGTTATACCTCCGGTTGGGGTTCATCTCTCTGACGAGTCAGAAACCACTAGTCTATTACTTTTCCTTCATCTATACAACTTCTAAAATGCCTCTCAAAGAAGTTAGCCTTGTGACAGTTAGGATCAGTTTCAAAGAAGTCGTACCGGAATGTGTGAGAATAATTGTGTAACTCACTCACTCACTCTGCCTCTCAGTGTCTTCCTCTTTTTTCACTCACTCACCTCACTCACTCTGCCTCAGTGTGTCTTCCCTCTTTTTTCACTCACTCACTCACTCTGCCTGTGTCTTCCCTCTTACCAAATTCCAGATGTTTAGGTTACTAAACCAGCCAGGGTCGAATATCCCAGGGAAGAAAAGGTGTCTCTTTTCTTCTGCTCCCTATCATATAGTATCCAGAGTCCCATAATACATAAAAAAGCCACAAAACTTGCAAAGAACACTTGAAAGGGAAAGCTGCTGACAACCTTTATTCTAATTTTAATGCTACAACAATACAAACTTATTTTTGCTTCCATACAGACATTTCAGAATCCTTCATTTGGTTGGTATCGGTATTCATTACACAAGAGTCCGAAAAGCGTTTCTCTCTCCAACCAACCGGGTAGACAATTTCAAATATTGATAAAACTTATAACATGTTGCAGACAGTAGATTATTCAAAACAAAGGTGAACATATATCGTGCTCAAACGAACTCGAGGATGACCCGACTAATTTTACTGTTATCATTCTGTCAGTCTAATTAAGGTCCAGTCTATTCTGTCATGACAGATTAACAATAGCACTATGAAACAATCGAGTTGCCCCTCAGTTCTTTTGAGCAGTATATTTAGTCTTAAGGTACGACAACAGCAAAGAAGATGTATTGAGAAGCTAGTAAGCGCTACAGTATCGGAGAATATACAATGATGTTATGTCAAGCGTAACTTAAAGGACAGAGTTCAGTCTACGTGGCGGCAAATGGCGGTGTACTTTAGAACTAAATGTAAACTAGTTTGCTATACTACCACGCAGGGTAGGATTTCTACGAAGTAGACTATGTTTAACACCTGCAAGATGTGTCCCATATGAAGGGAGAGGGGTACGTATTCTGCATATACACCTGCAAGGTGTGTCCCATATGAAGGGAGAGGGGTACGTATTCTGCATATACACCTGCAAGGTGTGTCCCATATGAAGGGAGAGGGGTACGTATTATGCATATACACCTGCAAGGTGTGTCCCATATGAAGGGAGAGGGATACACATTTATGTAATGAAGTTTACTTTATGCATTCTGCTGATATCCAAGGAAAAGGATATATATTATGCATATACACCCGCAAGGTGCGCCTCATATGAAGTTAGAAGGGTACGTATTAAACATATATGTGTCTTATATGCAGGGAGGGGGTTACGTATTATGCATATACACCTGCAAGGTGTGTCTCATATGAAGGAAGAGGGGTACGTATTCTGCATATACAGTTGGTGAGTATTGTACATTATACACTTGCAACTGTCATGTGCAGGAAGGGGGATACGTATCATGCATATACACCTGCAAGGCGTGTCTCATATGCAAGAGGGGGGCATATATTATGCATATACACCTACAAGGTGTGTCTCATATGAAGGGAGAGGGGTGCGTATTCTGCATATACACTTGCAAGGTGTATCTTATATGCAGTGAGGGGAATACGTATTCTGCATATACACCTGCGAGGTGTGTCTCATATGCAAGGAGACGGACATATATTATGCATATACACCTGCAAGGTGTGTCTCATATGAAGGTAGACGTATACGTATTCTGCATATACACCTGCAAGGTGCGTCTTCATATGAAGGTAGAGCTGTACGTATTCTGTATATACACCTGCAAGGTGTGTTTCATATGCAAGTGTTGGGGATATACTACATATGTTATATTTGGGATTACACTTTCTCAGTAAAGTAGAGATTCATGTTCTTTTTGGGGTTGAGTCCCATCCGGACCTTGAAACCATACTCGAAGTGAGACATCTAGTCCCCAGCACACAACGTCAGTGATCTAACGCACTCAGCCTACGCGGCTTCCACGAAATGACAACGGTAGTCTAGATCACGTACTTTCCTGGGATAATGTTCTACATTATACACCTGCAAGGTATCTGTCATAAGTAGGGACTGGGGTAGGGATCCTGCTACATTCAGTTGCAAGGTGTGTCTAATATACATGACTTTGAGAACAAGCAGTTGCCATTATAAAGAGTGCCCAATGGAACATATACTCTCCCAAAAAAGAAACGCATTATTTTATTTTCACGAAATTAATCTGCTAACTTTAAAGTGAGATAATACATGTAACGTCGCAGCCACATTTCTGAGTATAAAAGATAGAAAGCCTTATCAACATGTATAGCTTATAAAAACTCCCTTCCCATTTGGGCGTTGCCTTCAATAGCTGTTGTGGCAAATGCGTTTCTATTTTGGGAGAGTATATAAAAAGGACGGTGAAGTGATCAAATACGAAAGTATGTATACGTATGAACACATACACATCAGAAAGTAGGCAAGTACATGTAACAAAGTACACAACAACACATACGAAAGAAGACAAGCATAAGTAGGCTAACTAGAAGACTTTACATATACATGTACATGTAAGTACACATTAGACAGTGAATATATATAAGTATGCGTAAGTAAATCCAAATACCTGGGGGTGAAAAGCATAAAAAAGATGGTGTGGGGAAATGTAATCTTCAGTATGCACATGCAAGATTTGTCTTCCATGCGATAAATATTCGGCATTATAAACCTGCAAAGGTGTGTCTCACCTGCTAATTATGGGATAGGAATTCTAGTTATACCTGCAAGGTGTATCTCATATATAAGGAATTAATATACTGAAAGCCATTAAAACATTTCGGAACAGAAATACACATAAGAATCTAAGTAAGTGTATGAAACCAAGCACAAAACTACATATACAAAAGAAGGTATAACATGACATATGTAAATATATATAGGACTTTGTAAGCACACACGCACACATTAGACAATATGTGCTTAAAATACGTACAATAGAATATATAAAAATAAGTTCAATAGAATATATAAAAGCAAGTACAATAGAATATATAAAAATAAGTACAATAGAATATATAAAAAAATAGTAAGTGTGAGTGAGTTTAGTTTTACGCCGCGTTTAGTAATATTCCAGCTATATCACGGCGGGGGACACCAGAAATGGGCTTCACAATCAGTTATATGTGATGATGTACTGTGGGTAGACCTGATCTAATGTGAAGATGACGAATATTTTTGGATCATTCACATCATCCACACAGGAGTCGAACAAGTCATGTCGATTATCAGGACTCTTGGGGGGCGGTCGCCGGAGATCTCGGCTCCCCTGTGTAAACTCCCCCACCAGTACTTGTGCCACGAACATTCTCTTTACACCCGCAGATTGCTCTGCATAGGAATCCGAATATTTTGCTTCTCTTGCAAAGTAGCTGCCTGCGCCGTGTATAGCACCTACCCTCGTGGCGCTAAAACGAAAATCAAACCCTTCCTTTGATATGGCTTCTACCGTTTCCTCCGTTGTTCCATGGAACAGTTGTCGTTCTGCTGCAGGCTTTCCAGTTCGCCTCTCCATCTTTTCTCTCCGTCTGTAAAATCAATATTAACACTTTAAAGGCATACTTCGAACCGAGGTTGTAGCACGGCATGTCAGATTTATGCGTAAGGAAAGCCCATAGTTCAATGTCAATTAATAACACGTTTCGGAACATATTCCAAAGGGATTAAAAGCATGGATATTATATGAATGGTTCATTGAAAATAGTAGCTATATTGACGTGCGTAATAACAGCCCAGCTTTACGGCACTTGTCACTATTAACTAAATGTTCATTAAGAAGTAAAAGTCATTTTAAAAGGGGTTTGAAGTCCCTGTAAACACTAAGCATGAGATACCTTTGTGCATCATGTTATCAGCGACATTTGATATTTAGTTACGTCCTCTGAAAGTGAGTGTGAGTGAGTGAGTGTAGTTTTACGCCGCACTCAGCAATATTCCAGCTATATGGCGGCGGTCTGTAAATAATCGAGTCTGGACCAGACAATCCAGTGATCAACAACTCTGAAAGTGGGGCGGCGGGGAAGCCTAGTGGTTAAAGCGTTCGCCCATCACACCGAAGACCCGGGTTTGATTCCCCACATAGATACAATTTGGGAAGCCCTTTTCTGGTGTCCCTGTCGTGATATTGCTGGAATATTGCTAAAAGCGGCGTTAATCCATACTCACTCACTCCTCTGAGCGCCCACAATATAGTTTCTGGAATGACTTTCACAAAGCGATCGTAACGACAGGACGGCCGTGATCATATCGTAAGTATACGACTTACGACGGTTGCAGCCTTAGGAACGCTTTGTGAAACCAGCCCGAGAGGGAATAAGTGAGTTTGGTTTTATCAATATTCCAGCAATATCACGGCGGTGGATATCAGCAATGGGCTTCACACACTGTACCAATATGAGGAATTGAACCCGGAATTGAACCCAAGACTTTAACCACCAGGCTACCACACCGCTCCTCCCAGCCCGAGACATAAGATAGTGAAACCGTGCTTGTAAAATTTACCTGTAAGCACAATTTGTCTTACTAGGACATTTGAATACGATTTACATGTTCCATAAGTATCTTAGGACTTCACAAATGAAGACACCATTTGCTCGAAATGAATATTGCTGGGTGCAACCAAGACACCTACAGCTAATTTTTTCTTTTCATACAATAAAAACTTACCCATCAAAATTCATCCAAAGTTCTCCATTTTCTATGCGCTCCAGTGAGACTATCGTCTTGTTTGGCAGAGTTTCAAGGAACAGGTTCGCTATCTTCTGGAACTCATCAGTAGTGTTGCTGATCTGAAGAGCAGAACAAGTGTGTATGTGTGCTTAGATTCTACAGTACCTTGGTTACGAGTGAGTGAGTGAGTTGGGTTTTACGCTGCTTTTAGCTGTATTCCAGCAATATCATGGCGGGGGACACTAGAAATGGGCTGCACACATTTTACCCATCCTTGGATACGAGGACAGGCATATTGCAGAACAGAACTATCAGCACCTTCTTTTAGAGGCTTATAGATGTTGGTGAGTGAGTGAGTTTAGTTTTACGGCGCACTCAGCAATATTCCAGCTATATGGTCGCGGTCTGTAAATAATCGAGTCTGGACCAGACAATCCAGTGATCAACAGCATGAGCATGAGCAGACCGCCGCCATGTAGCTGGGATATTGCTGAGAGTGGTGTGAAGCAATAACCAAACCAAACCAAACAATTTAATTTTTCCTTAAAATATTAAACGCAAATCCTTTTGGAATGCATATTCAGAATATTTTTATATAGATTTACAATAATTGTACACTCATTACCCTAATGGGTCACATGTTCACATGCAATGTCTGATTCCTAATTGTATTAGTGAGTGAGTTGTGTTTTACGCCGACTATTGCAATTTCCCAACATTATCACTATGGGACACCAAAACCAGGGTTCACACAACCACGCGCTGTGTGGAGAATCGAAACAAACCCTCCGTCGTGAAGAGAAACGAGTGAGTGAGTGAGTTTGGTTTAACGCCGCTTTTAGCAATATTCCAGCAATATAACGGCGGGGAACTCCAGAAATGGGCTTCGCACATTGTACCCATGAGTGGAATCGAATCCGGATCTTCGGCGTGACGAGCGAACACTTTAACATCTAGGCTACCAAACCGTCCCTGTGAAGAGGAATACTTATGTCAGAGATAATGTTTTACCATCATTTTGCTGTAATGCTTGAACAACTTCTCCTCATTTGTTTGACCAATGCTCCACCCTCGTGGACATAACTGCTTCTTCCTGCGGGGGTCAAAATTTGGCCTGAAACGAGAAAAGACATGATGAGACATTGAGGATGTGTGGATTATTATTATCATCGCCGATTTCTTTTCTCACAAAACAGATATGTGCAGCTCGTCTGGGCTATGTGGATGGTTTGCTTGGTTTTATAGTTTTAGGGTGACGCGGGCCAGTAAGAGGCCTACTTGCGCCCTGACTATGTGGACTAAACATGTTGAGTTGCCTCCCTTCACTGCGGGTTCGTATACCGGCCTTCGTATCCTAGTTGCGAAGATGGATGTTCACGATATTGATCACTGGATTGTCTGGTCCACACCCCTTTTTATTTACAGACCGTATAGCTGGAATAGCACAAAGTGCGGCGTTAAATAACCATACCAACCAAACCAACCAACCAACCAACCAACCAAACCAACCAACCAACCAACCAACCAACCAAACCAACCAAACCAACCAACCAACCAACCAACCAACCAACCAACCAACCAATCGAATCCCGGTTTGACCTGATTGTTTCTAGGGCATGATGTCTAGCATCATAGTTTCACCATAGTGGGAAACGTCAGGAGCGGTGGGGTAGCCTAGTGGTTAAAGTGTTCGCTCGTCACGCCGAAGACCGAGGTTCGATTCCCCACATGGGTACAATGTGTGAAGCCCATTTCTGGTGTTCCCCGCCGTGATATTGCTGGAATATTGCTAAAAGCGGCTAAAAACTAAACTAAATTATTTTTATGTCCTTAAATGTCCAAAGTCCCTCTCATCTGCAGGAACCAGGCTCATATGCTTTCTGTTAGCCTCCCTCCCTTAAGCCAGTAACAATGTTATCTCAGGGCGATGCTATTTTTAATGTCTTCAAAAGTCCAAAGTAATATAACATCGCACCCATGGTGTTAATCTACATCACTGGGTAGACCCTGCATTAACGATATATTTAAATGGATAAGTTATGATATGATACCATACCTCTTTCCAAGCTCTTCCTTGGTGACGAACTGAGGCCGTCTTCTGACGCGTCGTCCTTTAGAAGTGGACATATTTGTCTGCATCATTTGATCAAACATCAGCTTATATCTGAACCCAGTCGTTCCATAGTCGAGGGATCCATTTGTGTCTTGTTGGTATGCACTCTCTATACTGTCACTGTTGGTCTCGGTGGTATATCCGCCGGTGCCCTTCAAATGTAAGTTCTTGATAAATAATTCTTAATGGTAGTGTCGCGGCGGTTGGGTAGCCTAGTGGTTAAAGCGTTCGCTCGTCACGCCGAAGACCCGGGTTCGATCCCCTACATGGGTACAATGTGTGAACCCATTTCTTGTGTCCCCTGCCGTGATATTGCTGGAATATTGCTAAAAAACGGCGTGAAACTAAACTCACTCACTCACTACATACTAATGTCACTTCTTCCAGGTATTATACTCAACCAAATTAGAAACTTGACACACATTTATTTGGCAATTTATTTGGTAATTCATTTGGCAATTCCTTTTGGTTTCTTGTTGTGTTATACATACGGCAATGGCATGTTTAGAAGATAAAGCTACTCTGTTTTCAATTTTGCGGTCCTTTATCGTGGATTTAAGACCGCTAAATGTAATTTAAAAACCGAAAGCGCTAGAAAATTGAAAACAAAGTAGCTTTATCTTCATTCTAGCACGACTGATAAGCGTTTTCCTGCTTTATTTCAGGAAACAATATGCTTTTATTTGTAACAAGTAGCATAAATAGATAAAAATAAATACAGTTTACACTGCGAGCAAGCCCAAATATTTGAGTTTTCTCAAGCGAATTATTAACTTCCTCTACTGTATGACAATCGACTCGCTCCAATTCAAGACGTGAACTCGCTAAGTTTAGTCGCCGCTAACTTTATTCAGGGAAGTAATTGTTGACAACCACGCTAATATTCCGAATTTGGAAAAGACCTGACGAAACAGTGACATGCCAGCTTTTATGAGGGAAATTACTGGGCATTACGGCCGGACGCAAGCGGACAGGTTAGGACGTGTGGGCCGATGTGTGTTGTCGACGTCATGCCCGCTAGATCTAGACTCGGTTTGAAGTATGGTGGAATGCCGTTTTTGCGCTGCTGACGAATTTTTCTGCTTCGAAGTTTCAAACCATTCGCTTTTTACTTCAAAAACACCAAAGATATTGCTGAAGAAGATATCGCCGCGTGACGACATGTTTGTTTACAAAAAAAAAGGCTCAACGCGTTCATTGTATTCATACGCGGTCAATCGGTCACTTTAATTAGCGATCCTGAAACTTCCATTTAAGTACGGTTTTGATGCGCTCTCAGCCAATCAGAATCGAGTATCAAACAATGTCGTGCCAGAATGCCTGTTTGAACACGTTCTTGGAGACCCACGTGAGAAATCTTGTCATAAAGCGACATACCAAATACTCACGTCGCCATCATCTTAGCGATTGCACGTGCATTGAATTGCAAACACACGGACATTGCTGAAACAGGTTTGGTTTCAATATTGCAGCTGTATGGCAAGAGTCTGTAATAAATCGAGTCTGGACCAGACAATCCAGTGATCAACATCATGAGCATCGATCTACGCAATTAGGATGCGATGACATGTGTTGACCAAGTCAACGAGTCTGACCACCCGATCCCGTTAGTTGACTCTTACAACAATCATGGCTTGCTGAAGACCAATTCTAACACGGATCTTCACGGGTCACACTGGGTAGGCCTAATGATGAACAAGCCGTTACAGCCGAGCCTTGAGACAGTACACAGGAACCGTGTGCAACAGCCAGCACCATTGCAGATCGCCCCAGACCTGGGCATCGCACCATGATGACGTAGAAATCTGTTTACGTGTCGGTATCGAGCCCTCTTGTGACCGGGTGTAAAAACCTAGGAGTCAACTTTGTGTACAGACTCTTTCAGTGTTGTCACAACCACTAGTGTACAGTACACAACCCTGTGCACTTAAAAGAACCCACGAATCCGTTGGTATATGACCAGATGGTGGCCACATGAATACGTGCAAACACCCAGTTGCGAGTACAGCAACGTGCAGTAAACTTGGACAAAGTACTGGGACAGTCCACCCAGCTGTGAATGGGTATCTCGTTAGGATGAGAAAGCCACAATAACTCAGTGCGCCTAGTGGCTGCAAGAGTTGTATACTCCCCAGGGAGTTGAAATTGATAATAGGATGTGCCGTTGAGATTGACATCCAATGATCGAGGGAGAAAATACCAGCGCCTTGAGCATGCTGTAGTTGCCTGGATATGTGCGCTATATATATATCCTATTATATTATATATATTATATCACCGCAAGAGAGTGAGTGAGTTTAGCTTTACGTCGCATTTAGCAATATTCCAGCAACATCACCGTGGGGGACACCAGAATGGGCTTGACACATTGTACTCATGTGGGAAATTGAACCCGGGCTTTCGGCGTGACGAGCGCTTTAACCACTAGACTACCCCACCGCCTTATATGACGACAACCTTTTCTTGCAGACAGTTTTTCAGAGGTCGTGTGTTAGCACACACGATCATGAATCGACTGCGCACCACACGTATCAAAGTTAGAGGACATTCCTTCAGCGTCAGGGCCCAGGATTAACAATCCAATGAGATAATGTCCGTCCTGTTGTCTTTTCAGCAGCACAGTGTTCAAGTTACTTTAGGCCTTTGCCTGCAAATTCACCAGGTCTCTATCCCACAGACCCTGTGTCGGATAAGTGAGTGAGTGAGTGAGTTTAGTTTTACGCCGCACTCAGCAATGTTGCAGCTAAATAATCGAGTCTGGACCAGACAATCCAGTGATCAACAGCATGAGCATCGATCTGCGCAATTGCTGTGTCGGATGAAATGAAGAAGGTCTACGCTATGTACTAAATCCGATAACGTTCGTGATTTGAAGAGTTGAAGAGATTGTGGCCAGCCTTTCCACCATTCTTTCATTCCTATTTGATAGACTCCATGTGTCTGCATTGCACTGTTGTTCCCGTTACTCACAGTGGGTATACCCGTTGTGTTATTGTTGCTTGACCCCTGCCCTGACTCGTAACGTTAAATATGCCCTTTTCTTTTCAATCTTTTCAAATTTTGCAAAGCAATTTCTTTTGTAGCTTCACATATTGCTTATATTATTGTCGGAATCGTACTCTATTAACGATTATTTAACAAGGAATTCGTGGACTTACCGTTTTGCCATATTCCATCCAAGTTCCAGAATCGTCTTCCCAGTACCATCGCCATTGAGTTGCCCACTTATACAGTGAAGGTTGCATCCTGGGAGAACTGGATGACGGAGTAGACAGTCGCCGCACTGAGATCTTGGTCTTCTTGCTCAAGCCTGTCATTTCCTCAAAACTGACACGGACAAGATCTCCTTTCCTGAAAGGAAGCCTCATGAATGACCTCATGAATGTTTGTTTGTTGCCGCACTAAACAATATTCCATCTATATGGCGGCGGCGCTGACTTGGTTGACACATATCGTATCCCAACTGCATAGAACGATGCTCATGATGTTGATCACTGGACTATCTGGTCCTGACTCGTTTATTTACAGACCGCCCCAATATAGCTGCTATATTGCTGTTAAACTACACTAATCAACCCTTTGATATAGGTGATATAGCAGGAATAAATTCCAAAGCGTCAATCACTCACGTATAAAACTAGTAACATCTCACCTGTAGGCAACAGGACAACATTCTTCTCCCGGGTCAGAGTACGTCTTCTCCAGTTCAGTGTTGGTGGCATTATCAAAGTCTTTCCATGACTGCTGTCCTTGTACATCAGTCTCTGTATGCTGCCATTGGTAGATCATTGGTCGATGGTGTTTTCCGCATTTGTCACCCTGTTGGCACTTTCGAAATTTATGCATACAAATTTCATCGGTATTTTTTTCAACGGGTGCTTTCTGGTCTTTATTTGTCTGTTTCTTTGGTCTAGTTTTGGGTAAAGGCCCCTCCCTACCAAGTTGCTGTGGGTATTGAGACTCATGATCCTGTTGGTAAGAGGGGCCTGGTCTAGTTTGAGGAAAAGGTCCCTCCCTACCAAGTTGCTGTGGGTATTGAGACGCATGATCCTGTTGGTAAAAGGGGCCTGGTTGTGGTTGGGCCCATTGTCCAGGAGGTTGAAGATACGTGGCACCATATTGCTGATGGTATGGTGCAGCTGCTTGTGAATTAGCCTGTTGGTTCCATGAAAATGGCTGAAATGGCTGTTGATATGGCCCTGCTGGTGGTCGGGTTAAGGGAGCCTGTCCCATCATTGGCTGGGCGGTCTGACTGTTTACATCTGGATATGGGTTTGAATGTTGCAATGGGGGAGGGATTGGGAGATCTATCAGTGGTTGAGGACGGTTACGAATCTGTGACAGTTCCTCTCTGTTGTCTCCTCTTCCTCTAAAACCTCCCCTTCCTCCCCTTCCATCCCTTCCTCCTCTACCCCTCATCTGTTTCCCTTGTCCACGGCCTCTTTGGATTCCTCTTCCAGAGTTACCTCTGTTACTTCTTCCTCCTCTTCCGGATGAAGCAAGATGACTTTCTGATTTGCTTCTAGAAAGGGGTAAAGGAGTCAAATCAAGTTCTCGTAAATCACCAAGAATTTCCTCTTCAGGTTTCTGGATATCAAGACCGTGCTTCTCGAGTATTTCAGTGACACTCTTCTCTAAGATACTGTGCCCTTCACAATCCGCTCCACGTGTGCAAGATCCAGAAATGTAATCTGGACATAAATGCATACGGAAACACTTCGTTGGTGAGTCCTTGCAGGTTTTTTGTTGAAACTTGTGACAAAGCTCAGGCGTTGTGACTACACACCTGTTCCAAGGAGACCTGAAGATATTCCTCACGTTTTCTAGACTCAGCTTGTCCAGTCCATAAGGCTGAAGAACTCTCTGGTTGTGGGAAGTATTCAGATTGTGACCAAAAATACAGCTATTGCTTCTGCAGACGTCAGAGAGCAGAAAATACTTGCAAATATGTAAATCTCCACAGTTTTCACCACTGGAGCACGTCCCTCTATTCATAACATGTTTCCTACAAACTGCAATGCTAATTTCAATTCTAGCAGAAGTGGATAATAGGCTTTCGCCCTTTGATACTACCACTACACTTGGGACATTTTCCAGCTTCCGTTTTAGTTGAGTAGCATCATCCAAACTTCTACTCTTCATCTTCTTCAGGGACTGAAAGATTGTCAGCAATGATAACTCACATCGTTTTGGGGCAGATAAAATCTTCAACACATTTATTTCCAAGTCGTCTTCAGTGTCCATCTTGTAAGATAGTTGTTTAGCTGAAAAGAAATCAGCTGATAGAAACGTTATCCAACTATCGATGCAGATCATCTATACTGCGTAATGAATGTATATTTGTCAAACCATCTGGTATCATAATTGACATTCAACTATATATTCAATCATTTTCACTATTATTTCCCATTTGAGCCTAATGGATTTTGTTTGGGCTTTTTTTCTGAGTTAAATTCCGATGTTAACATATATTTACACCACGGTTATGATTATTTCACCTCATTCAAATTCAAGGCAACATCTAATTGATGCGTCTGTGTCAGGCAATGGTGGAGAACATATGAACAAGGTGACACACAAGAACCAAAATAGAAAATATCCCTCCGGAATATCTGCCGCTTTTCTGTGTTCATTGGATGGAGGGGCTGCCACTTCCCTATCCTTGGGCCCGCCAGGAGAGGGACGGTACATTGTGTTTGCATTTGTATTGTTTTTGCATTTATTTTGTAATTGTCTCTATTTTGTTTGCCGAAACTCACCCCTGCCCTGCAGATTTTAAGGCTCCTATAACCGAACAATAGCTGAATGCTTATTCTGACACCAGTACGAGCGGAAAATGGTGACACCCGATAAACAATCAAAGGAATGGGTTACGCATTTACCTAAAGTCATAAGTAGTATACACAAAAGGGGTACGAGATCACTTCCAACAAAAGACTCTGTAAAGCTTTATTTCATAAATAAAGCCTTTATCAGGCCCTTACCTCTCTCCGCTAGTGTGCATACCACTTTTGAATGACCGCGAATCGGCACTTTCCTGGTCTATGACAAGCCAACACTTCCTGCACTGTTGTGATCACTCGACAGGGAGGTAAGTGTTGTTTTGAGTAGTATATGGAATAGCGAGAAAAAGACGTATAGGTACACCTAAGTCTATAAGCTCCAAACTATCCAATTCGGCTCCCAGAGTCACAAAAAAAGTAGTGTTTCGCATTTGGGGGTTTGGACCTCTTTTTGTTTTTTCTTTGAGGTTTCTAGTAGTCTATCCAACCCAAGACAGGGTTTTCGGGAGAAAATCACCAGTATGTCGATGCAAGTGCACTCGAATTAGAGATACACTAGGTACATAGGTATAGAACACAACAAAATGTCTGGAACCAAGCTATAGTGTGAAGCCTATGCCGAGATCCGGTCGGGTCGTTTGTCCTTTCAAGAAGCGAAGAGGAAGTACCACATATCGCAAGCCAGATATACACAAATCCGAGGTGGTATAGACCCCGAGCCACAGACAACGACAACTCCCGACATGACCGAAATCTTCGAGGGTTCTGCTGGAGAAGTGTCCCCACGTATTGCTTTCGGACCAAGAGAAGCAAATCCTGGAGCAATCGGGGCACACCTTCTACGAGCGCTACCAGATCCCTCACCAGTTTCAGGTACTGTATTTGCTGTACTTTCGCCCATTCGTCGAAGATGGCAAAATAGTGGATTTCGTCTACCTCTACCCACCCAACCAATTTCGCCCCTCGGCAGGCAAACTCCGCATCGTTCTCGCAGACGACTACTATCCGGAACCCAAGGACAGGCACCACCGATGCACCGACTGCCTGGTCGCTCTATCGGAACTCCCCGCTGTCTTCGAGCGAGACAACTCTACGTGCAAGTGCGGTGCCATCGACCACTGCGTCGACAGCAAGAAATGCGTTCTCTGGGAAAAGAAAGCAATAGACTACACACCCCAGGAGCGACTCCCACTCGAGGTTCCAGAAGTAATCGGGGTTCGATGTCTGTATCTCGAATATAGAGAACCTGTACGACAACACCTGCGCTTTCTGGAACATACGGCACGCACTCCCCCTCAATTTGGTGGACTATTGTCCGTGCAAGGAGAAAGATTCCTGTCTCTTCCAACAGCTACTGGGGAAAGCAGAGGTACTCAGGGACGCAGCAATATTTGGCATACCCCTTTGCCCAGCTACGGCGGGCCCAAGGATAGGGAAGTGGCTGCCCCTCCGTGCAGCGAACATTGAAAAGCCACAGACATTTCGGAAGGAATGTACACATGCAAAAAGTTTGCCATAGCGAGATACGAAGGGAAAAAACGACTGTTGCTGCTTCTCGATTCGCCAACTGGAGAAAAAATGATTCCAGCCTACGGCTACAAGATACGAGAAACGATTCGGGACGCCGGTGGAATAGAACACCTACGGTTGGTGCGGGAACCGTTTCTGTGCAGGCTTGGTAAAATCTGCCGCTCATCCATATCGAAAAAGAAAGACGATAGAGAAGTCGAGTTGCTGCCCCCAGACCTTGGGCGAGAATAGTTTTCTGGGCAGCTCGCCTAGTATTTTTGCAGATGCATAGTCGCGGGCTTGGGATTGCAAAAGATGAATGGAGTCGTAGACTTTTCGTATTCCGACTGCTTTTCGTGGTAGGAAAGTAGGGTGCATACCCGGCCAAAAAAACCCAACAAAAAACGCATGGTTCGTATACCCTACTACAATACTTTTTTCCAAATAGGCTGCATTCCACACATCGAGTTCTCTACTCCATATAGTGGGGACCCCCGGGTTTGGCTGTGGAAACTGGTATGGGCGTTTCTGTCTTCTTGTCGGCCGGTGTGTGTAAGGGGTGCACGAAGTGGGAAACTGGTTTGGACGTCTTCTTCTCTTCAACATGGACCAGTGTGCTGTGCTTCCAGGTCTTGTGGGGACCTTCCAGAGATAAACGGCAACTAGCGAAATGTTTGTTTCTCTCGGTCCGAAAGCAATACGTGGGGACACTTCTCCAGCAGACCCTCGAAGACTTCGGCCATGTCGGGAGTTGTCGTCGTCTGTGGCTCGGGGTCTATACCACCTCGGATTCGTGTATATCTGGCTTGCGATATGTGGTACTTCCTCTTCGCTTCTTGAAAGGACAAACGACTCGACCGGATCTCGGCATAGGCTTCGCGCTATAGCTTGGTTCCAGACATTTTGTTGCGTTCTATACCTATGTACCTAGTGTATCTCTGATTCGAGTGCACTTGCATCGACATACTGGTGATTTTCTCCCGAAAACCCTGTCTTGGGTTGGACAGACTACTAGAAACCACAAAGAAAAACCAAAAAGAGGTCCAAACCCCCAAATGCGAAACACTACTTTTTTTGTGACTCTGGGAGCCGAATTGGATAGTTTGGAGCTTATAGACTTAGGTGTACCTATACGTCTTTTTCTCGCTATTCCAAATAGTACTCAAACAACACTTACCTCCCCATCGAGTGATCACAATAGTGCAGGAAGTGTTGGTTTGTCATAGGCCGTGTGACCAGGAAAGTGCCGATTCGCGGTCATAGTGACCAGGAAGTTGGCTGGGAAGGGCCTGATAAAGGCTTTATTTATGAAATAAAGCTTTACAGAGTCTTTTGTTGGAAGTGATCTCGTACCCCTGTTGTGTATACTACTTCATAGCTGCAATTAATCAAGAAATCACTAGACAGATTGACAAAATAACGGTTGACGCCATTAAAAATGAAATCGGTGACTGCCGAATCATCTGCACCACCAACGGTTAAAAAAGTGACGAAACTGTCTGACTGGGTCGCCGTGAGGTATTTGTAACAGACCGGTGAACTTGAAGGAGGGGATGCACGTTGCGCTACAGATTCGGTGTGGTCCATCAAAACGTATAGTATTGATTGGGCTGATATCAAAGAAGGTCAGTCCTATTTGTATTACCTGAAGGATGGACCAGGTCGAGGATTCGTGAGAGAGGAATTACTAATCATACCTTACCACACGGTGGTACCTCCATTGAAAAAATAGGCAAAAATATGGGGGACATCGAATGATGGTCGACGCTGTTTTTGCCGTATCTTTAGTCTATCGTTTGGGCATTATTTACGCTAAATAATGCCATAGGAGGAAGTGATGGAACATTGTTTGATGTCCGTGGCTCTTTTTCGATGGTGGTGGGAGCTGATTTGACCGCAGAGGTCCTCTCAGAGGACCTGTTCTCGTAAGCCCATCGTATATACTACTACTGATGTGAAAACCTGATGCCCATTTGACATTTATGGGGTATTATATGTTTTATGTTCTATTGATGTTGTTTAACGCCGCACTTCCAGCCATATAGCTAAGCCGTTGGTTGACTGTTGTTTAAAGGTCACATGCAACGTAAAACAGAACTTTGCAGATTCTGATACCTTTCGCATGGACTTACCGAAACAAATCATCAAAATGCAAATTCAACTTATAAAGTTGAAAAATAACGCGATGAAAAAAACCG